AAACCAACTGCCTCCATTACCAAGATACAGGGCGCTCATATTATAAGGTAAGGTTATAAAAACCATCTTTTAAGATCATTTTAGTGAAAGTTTCATCCTTCAAGGCATACCATTCACTGCTCAAATACTAAACAACCTACTATTATTGCCGAAATACAGGGCGCTCATATTATAAGGTAAGTTATAAAACCACCTTTTAAGATCATTTTAGTGAAAGTTTCATGTTCCTATCTCATAGAATTTAAGAACAATGATGAATAAATCATTTTCGAGCAAAATTTAAATGGCCGGCTGAATATATTACCGCAGGAGCCGCGGCCGCGGAATTTAAATGACCACGTCAAAGGGTTAATCCTGATGCCCTGTACTTCAGCATCTCCTAGGCTAGGACAACATAACTGTTGTACACACTTACCAACAAGCAGAAAATGTATATGAAACTTCAGTATTTCTGTTCATACATTTTGTCATTTTACTTGAATGAATCAGTTAGCTAACAGACATTCTCTTTCACAAGAAAGTAACTACTTTATCACTACATGTGAACTGAAGTCTGGAGTGTTTGCCAAGGGTGCCAAGACTGTCTTGAGGTTGAGGTCTGATTCAGCAGCTCATGCAACAGGTGTGGTTATCACTTTAGAATTCTTCAGTTTAAGAACAAAAGATGTAAGGTTGCTAACCTTAAAATATGCTGCTACTCTAGTAGCCTCTGAAATATCACTGAAATTACAGATGAATTCAATCTGTTCAGAAAATCAGAGTTTTAAACGCCTTTAATTTAAATTCGGCCAACAGTTTTCATCATATCTGTTATGTGCTTGACAAATGAAGGGACACCACCCACAAAGGACAGAATCTTCAAGGCACTGCATATATCCAAATCATCGTCAATGCTAACAAGGTGCAATGAAACTAAAGTGGAGTCCCAACAAATGGGCTGCTCCTGGTGGCAGTCTTGTGAACAGAAGTGAAAATGCTGCTTACACATAATACAGTGATTATTAAGTTAACAAATACAGCTGACGCCTCACATTCTCAGCAGTTCGTCGTCACTGTCAGACTCTTGTCCATCCATATGACTCACCAGCAGCTGGCTCGCTTCATCAGCCGCCTCTAGCTGTACAGAAGAAACACATATCATAACTGACAGCAACTAATGTTTCAGACAAAACATACTTACTCTGTAACACTTCCATATTGTATCCTTCCACCAATTACAGGACAGAACATCTTTCTCCTTTTACACAATTACTAGGGGCTCGTGTGTACTCACAACCGTCATGTTTATTAGTGTTACCATAATACCCAACAGTGAAAAAAATACAGATTTCAAGAAGCTCTTCTAAAGAAGTAATTTTCATGAAAATGACAGCTGATAAAAGATTACTGCTGACAGCACCACTTACCAGTAGAATTAGCATTACCTGTAGACTGTGTTACCACGATCTCATGCAACATCATTAAAATTTAATGTACACAGAGACTAGCAGAAATACCCATTCTTTGCCCAGTATATGGTTGCTTTCCTTTTAAATACCACAATATACGGTAGCTGAAACTTTAAGGAATGAATAACACTCAGATTGAGATATTAAGTTCTACTCATGTAATGAAGAAAAAGATTGTGGATGAGGATCCGATGCATCCAACAATTCTACAACACTTACACATAGCTGTTACATCTGTACAGACTACTGTACAGATTGGTTAAGAATATGAAGAAAATTTCATATCTTCAGGTGTTCTCTACTACTTGTACCAGAAAACACAACTATGTGTGTACATATACTAGATGTCACTAAGAAGCAGATGCATTAGGCTCCATAGTAATTTTTAACCTTCCTTTCAAATTACCATTTCTGAGATGAAACCTACTGGCATAATTACCACTCGCTTGGCTAGACGCTGACCCTCTAACACCAACATTAATATGTGGAGCTCTACTTTCACTCCCCCATGGCATGGTGTGTAATATTAACCAACTTTATCTCTTACCCCAATTGGAGTCTCAAATCTGTCTCTACGCCCAGAAGTTCAGTTCAACTTGAGTATCAATTTTGAAAATATGCAATTTTCTTGATTCATTTTTCCTCACTTCATGGTACAGACTGTTCCAATCTCACATATCCTTTCTACCCTTTGCAAAGTCCTCCCTGGCCTCAGCACCCTTTTAGTTCATTCTGTAGAATGTGTTTCAGTATTTTCTCATCTGTCATTCTATCCTAATGGTTTCTGTTTGTGTTTCTCCACCTACTGATTATATGTTCAGTTTGTCCCTAATATCTTCATTCTCAATACGATCTAGCATAATGTACCCTTTACCTGTTCTTAAGTATTTCATTTCTAAAGACCACTTTCTTGGCTGATATATATATATGTACACACACATATAAAAAGATGCAGCTTCATGTGAAATGGTTCACATTGCATACCTTGCCTTTCAACACATTTGCACTCATCTCAGTACCTATTGTGAACTGGTTAGCCTGCTGCAAGGAGGAAAGTGAGAACTGCAAAACAGGCAGGGTGCTCCAAAACACAATTCCACATCCCATGTGTGTGCCACAGAACGCTGTTGTCCTGTCATTGTTAGTCAGCTCCAAACCCAAAAGTAAAGTCAGCCAAGTGACAACTGTCTGCCTAACAGTTCTTATGCACTGTCCATTCTCTCAAGCAGATCCTGGGGCAGTAGCTTAATGGAATTTCCTCTTATTTTTTGGTGCACGGTGAGGAGGGTTCAGGTCAAGTACCATTACAAAAGGCAGGCATAAGATGAGCAAAGATCTTTATACCCACAAAATGTGTTTTCTGGCTAAAGGTCTGGGTATTGAGCTTATAAGTTTCACTGTGAAAGAAGTGGCCTTACATCATTAGAATAGAAAAAGATCATGGATATATTGCTGTCCTAAGTCAAAATCTGGCTTAAACCTTTCTAGTTTACTTAATGATGCAGTCAGTAACTCAAGACTATATAGTGTCAAATCTTAGGACAATAAGTGAGTAATGAAGTTGGATGCATGTGGAAGGAAGTGGCCATGGTCTTAGTTGAGGTACTATACTGATTTGTGTCTGAAGGACAGATATCTCAAATTTAATGTACTGTAATGTTTATGACATTTCAGAACTGTTAGAATAGAATAGAATATATGAGGGGTAGGCCTTCTCGGCCCTTGCACCGCGACCTTAGGTCTATTGTGCTTCCCATTTTTTAATTACTGCCTCAACAACCCGACGCTTCGGATGAAGCACAGGATCTTGGACGTGGGGATGTCAAAATAGTCACTTGGTTCCATGAAGTACTGGCCCAAGTGACATAATCTTAAATAAGCCAATGCCTCACATTCACACAGGACGTGTGTGGCTGTTTCATCTTCTAGCTGACACCTCTCACAGGTGGGACTATCACTCAGTCCCAGTTTGGACAGTTTGGACAGGTGTCCTTTGAGGTGACAGTGTCCTGTAAGTAGTCCTACCACCCATCGTAGCTGGTTCCTGTTGAGCTTCAACAGTTCCTTCGCTCTTTTAGCAGAAGGTCCTCGTATGAGTCCCTTTGCTTGCCTGAGTCCAGTTAAGGATTCCCAGTATTCCTTGTGTTTCATGTTAGTCCAGTCCCTGATTGCCTGTTTGGCAACTCCTAGAGAGATGCCACAGGCTGGTTCAGGTCCTATGAACGGGTGTTCNNGGCATATACTTCTGCCTGGAATACTGTCGTGTTTCCGCCTCGTGCCATGGCAGTACACACCAGCTCCAGTGCCCTTATTTGTCTTGGAACCATCTGTATACCAGATCAGTCCCCCTTTTCTGTCGGGCTGAAACCCTTTTTCCCATTCACTCCTGACAGGAAATCTGACCGTGAAGGGTTTTTCATATACATGTCTCAGTATCATGTTGTCAGACCCCATTTGCAATATGGGTTCTTTTTTCATGTCCTGAGTCATGTCTGCATGACCGAAACCATCAGATCTTGGTTTCCATTGTTC